CCTGTATGACCGGAGCACGAGCTGTGTTCCCTCTGGTCTCCCTCTGGTCTCCCTCTGGTCTCCCTCTGGTCTCCCTCTGGTCTCCCTCTGGTCTCCCTCTGGTCTCCCTCTGGTCTCCCTCTGGTCTCCCTCTGGTCTCTCTCTGGCCTCTCTCTGGTCTCCCTCTGGTCTCTCTCTGGTCTCCCTCTGGTCTCTCTCTGGCCTCTCTCTGGCCTCTCTCTGGTCTCCCGCTGGTCTCTCTCTGGTCTCCCTCTGGTCTCTCTCTGGCCTCTCTCTGGTCTCTCTCTGGTCTCTCTCTGGCCTCTCTCTGGCCTCTCTCTGGTCTCTCTGAAACTGTCACTATATAAATACACAACGAAAGCCAGGGTCCATATAAGAATGTGTGTGGCGTTTGCCCCCACAACGTAATGAATACCTGCACACACACACACACATACACATACACAGACACACACACAGACACACAGAGACACACACTGACACAGACACGTTTTTGTTACCTGGTGGGTCCCTTTGACAGGGCCGTTCAGAATGGGACCCATAGACATAATCTTTTTTTACTGGGACTACTTTAAGTAATACAAAACAGTCAATAGAAACCAAACAACTATTTTAAAGGAATTTTATTTTAGATTTTTTTTTCGAATTGCAGTGATTCTATTTTTGACATAGAATTTAATGCCACTCCATGTCCGATGTCTAAGGTCATCTGGTGAGGCATTAATGCAGGCCAGGCCAGGCCAGGCCAGGCAGTGAGACTTCCCAGGGACCTTTCCAGTCTGTATGAAAGGTGTCATGGTCTTCTCCACAGCCTTCACCTCAGATGCAGACCATGGCTTTCTTACACGTTCTAGGGAGAGAAATAAAAATATATTAGCAATATACACTCCCAGGGTTAGGACCAAGCAGCCTGGCTGTAATCCCCCACCTGGTACACTTACCAGAAGGGGCACTGCCAGCCACTACCATGGGGTGCATCTGGATGAATGGTTGAAGGTTCTCCGCTTGAAGTTTCTTTTAGCCCGTCCGTTTGTGAGAGGATCTCTACTGCTCTCCCTGTCGCACAGAAAATAAAAATACAAGTGGCCTTTAGGGGAAAAAAATCATACATATTTTAATAATATCAAGAATTACCTTCAGGCTCAATTTGTATCTGGTCGAGGCTCTTTCCTTCGAATTCCGTCACTCTTCCCTGCTCCATGGCCATCAACACTTTGCTGATTTTGGCCAGCTCCAGTGTCCCCTCTGGTAGTCTGTAATATTGCCTGTGGATGCGAATGTCATGGCCGAGGAAGTTGGCTAGTATGTCCATCTCATTCTCTTTCATATTGAGAACTGTAGACATAGTAGCTATGTGCTTTCTAAGTTTGGTTGAGGATAGCATCTCTGGATGCACCGCACCACATTCTTTGGCTACCTGGCGTAGGGAGTCTGATCCCCTGATGTGGGTGTCTGCCCCGGGCGGGAAAAGAAGTATGGGTTATGGTCAGAGATGGAACAGGCCCTTCTGTTCTCCACCAGCACCTCCATCGAAGCAATCATTTCAGGAGTCAAAAGAACCGGCACTTTCCGACTTCTTTTCCCTTTAATTTCAATGCGTTGAAAATGCTGACACAGCTTTTTCTCAAGTTGGGACAGTCCCAGAGCAATGTCAGAATGGATCCCAGTCTTACTTCTTAAGGTAAAGGCTGTCAGTGGCATCTTTGAAACCTCACCTTCCCTTCTTCGATTGAAAATGATGACCTCACAAAGAGTCAAAACTGCCAGTTTAGACCAATGCTTAGACGTTGGCTCACTTATTAGGGTTTGCACATATTCAGGTCGACATACCTCAATATGTGCATGCATGGCTCTAACGTCCTCAGTCAGAGGGAGCAGGTCCGGAGTGTTCCACTTGGCTTGCCGGAGGGTCTGTAGGGCAGCAGAAGAAACACAGACGTCCCACCTCTTCTCAAAAAGCAGCCGGCTTCGTTGGAGGTTTTTAATAAATAGTTCATCAACACAATGCTCCATTTTTGAGTCACATTCAAGAATATCTGCTAGCTTTCTGAGGCTATGGCCGAGTTTGAGGGCCAAGGATGGAGTCTTGTATTGATTTGTTTCCTCATCATATCCAGCCACAGACCTGACTGCATCAATCACATGGTTAAAGTTGGAAGGAATAAAGAAATCCTTAATTGTTTTCAGTTTCCCTGCAGTTTTTGCTTCGTTAATTAACCTACCGACTTCTCTCATTTTCTGCCTAATGTAATCATGCTTAGTCTTATCATGCCCGTGTTTTAAGTACAGGTGCTCTCCGAGTCTCAGAATCCCCTTTTCTGCTTTGACAACACCCGTGACCTCATCCTGATGCATTGCCCAAATTAAAGACCACAGCTTTTTGCTGATGCCCTCCGGTACAGGCTGGGCTAGGGAGCAGAGGGACTGGACCCTACTTCTACCTGGTTTAGCCTGGTTTAGCCTGGGCATCTTTCTGTGAAAGCCGGCACCTGGCCACATGCCTCCACAGCGACTTTCGCTTAAGCAATGCCCCACAGTCTATACAGTGCAAAAACTCACTGGATTTAACTGGGCAATTTGGCTGTTTAGCTGGGACTAAAGTTCCAATGCCGGCCTTTAAAACCTCAAAATTGTGCTCACGGTTTCCACTATTCCTGATCAAATCAAACTGAAGTTTACGTGCTTTAGATTTCACAGGTAGAGCCAATGCTCTGGCTACGTCACTTTCATTTCCATGTTTTCTAGTCAAATGACGGGACATTTTGTGGCAGGACATTGAACAGTAGAGGCAGAAGTGTCTCTTGCTGTATACTCGCCCCCCATTTTTCTTCTTTTGCAGCTGCATGATAACAATCTTATTTGCCTTTGGTTCGTCACTTTCCGAGTCTTGAAGAAAAGTGTTTTTGATTTTTCTTTTTCCATACTTTTTTACAGGTTTCTTCTTGACAGTTAAATCGTCAGAATCTGAGTCGACTTCATCAATTAGGGACTCTTGACTAAGCTGCACAAACAACAAATAATTTGTAATCATTCTATATAACAATTTGAAGTCATGACTTGTAGTCAGCACTTACCAGTGGTTTGTAAGCGTGCGCTTCAGTGTGCTCCTCCATGATTTCTTGCAGCCTAATGAACCACACACTTGCACCTTTTTCTAGCCTGACACCTGATTTCCTCTGTTGTGCTGCTCCATGATTGGCTCCAGCCTGCTGGACTGAAATTGCCCCAGTGTGCCCCTCCTTGATATCCCGCAACCCACCACCAGGGTTCCGACACATAACACACTTTTTTCAGGAAAGTAAACCTCCAGGGGTCCTTTCCATATTTTTACAGAGACTGCATAAGGACCGTTAGAAAAGCATTACCCATTGATTATTAAGCTTGGACCAGTGGGGTCCGGTGTTCGGGCCCCACCACGTAAAACCAGTCCCCATGACGTGAGCGGAATCTCAGGTTATGGAACCCACCAGGAGTTGAAAACAAGTGCACACACACAGACACACAGAGACACACACTGACACAGACACACACACACACAGACACTGACACAGACACACACACACACACACACACGGACACATGGATGACTCACAGGGGAGCAGCTGGGAGATGACAGCGCACACAGATCAGCAGCGGCGAAAATACCAGGAAATTGTACAGTAACAGTAATAGTAGTAATAGTAGTAATAGTAGTAGTAGTAGTAGTAGTACTCTCAATACTGCATCTCCCTCCTCTGACATGACCAGGTGACTGAGTGATGGTTCATGGATAAACGCTGATGGTGTCAATAGAAGTGCTGAGGTAAGCCTGGTGCATTATGGGTGTTCATTTTGGTTCTTAACCTGGTTTTAGAATGCTTGTTATTGTTTAAAGGGGACCTAGCATACAGGTTTCTACAATGATTAATGTATATTATTATGCTCTCTCTGGTCTCTCTCTCAGGTCTCTCTCTGGTCTCTCTCTGGTCTCTCTCTGGTCTCTCTCAGGTCTCTCTCTGGTCTCTCTCTGGTCTCTCTCTGGTCTCTCTCTCAGGTCTCTCTCTGGTCTCTCTCTCTGGTCTCTCTCTCTGGTCTCTCTCTGGTCTCTCTCAGGTCTTTCTCTCAGGTCTCTCTCTGGTCTCTCTCTGGTCTCTCTCTCAGGTCTCTCTCTGGTCTCTCTCTCTGGTCTCTCTCTGGTCTCTCTCAGGTCTTTCTCTGGTCTCTCTCTGGTCTCTCTCTCTGGTCTCTCTCTGGTCTCTCTCAGGTCTCTCTCTGGTCTCTCTCTGGTCTCTCTTTAGTCTCTCTCCGGTCTCTCTTTGGTCTCTCTCCGGTCTCTCTTTGGTCTCTCTCCGGTCTCTCTCTGGTCTCTCTCTGGTCTCTCTTTGGTCTCTCTCCGGTCTCTCTTTGGTCTCTCTCCGGTCTCTGGGTCTAAGCGCAGTCTCAACCTTTCCACTCACATGTGTTTGTGTTGAGTTTCTGTACAGTATGTACAGTAGGTCATTGTCAGTAGTGGTTTGTAGCAGAAAACTTGTTATGGTCCCACAAAGTTTTATATATATATATGTGTATCAAGATCCTGCTGTAACAGGTTAGAAATGGTTTTATTTGTTGTATTGATACTTTTACAAATGGAAATATAGTTATAGCTTGGATTTAAGATCATTGTTGATAGTTTAAGTAATAAGTAAGTAAGTAAGTAATCTTTATTTATATACCGCCTTTTCACTGCACATCGGAGTCTCAAAGCGGTTTAGAATTGTTTTTTGTTTGTTTTTTTTGGGAGTGGGGGTCGCCAGTACAGGAGGCACATGCCAGAACTATAGTACATATTTTTAGTGGTAGGGGAAACCGGAGCACCCGGAGGAAACCTACGCAGACACGGGGAGAACATGCAAACTCCACTCAGAAAGGCCCTGGTCCAACCGGGATTCGAACCCAGGACCTTCTTGCTGAGAGGCGAGGGTGCTAACCACTCAGTCACCGTGCCGCCCAAGTTTACAGCCTGACTTCACTGCAGACAGATGAAAAATTACCTTTGTTCCTCGGAAACGTACTTCTTCTGTTTGGCCCCTGGAGCACGGCCCCAGCTGCTGCCTCCGCTCTGCCCCAGAGCGAGGTGTCATGGGTGGGATCAGAGGTGCTTTGATCACCCCCCGACAGGTACTGCAGCCCCATGAAGACTGGGCTCCTCTGGGATGACAGGTGTGGGTCTGAGAGTATGGGTCTGCGAGTGTGGGTCTGAGAGTGTGGCTCTGTGTGGGTCTGAGAGTGTGGGTCTGAGAGTGTGGGTCTGTGAGTGTGGCTCTGTGTGGGTCTGAGAGTGTGGGTCTGAGAGTGTGGGTCTGTGAGTGTGGGTCTGAGAGTGTGGGTCTGTGAATGTGGGTCTGTGTGGGTCTGTGAGTGTGGGTCTGTGAGTGTGGGTCTGTGAGTGTGGGTCTGTGAGTGTGGGTCTGTGAGTGTGGGTCTGTGTGGGTCTGTGAGTGTGGGTCTGTGTGGGTCTGCGAGTGTGGGTGTGAGAGTGTGGGTCTGAGAGTGTGGGTCTGTGAATGTGGGTCTGTGTGGGTCTGTGAGTGTGGGTCTGTGTGGGTCTGTGAGTGTGGGTCTGAGAGTGTGGGTCTGTGAGTGTGGGTCTGAGAGTGTGGGTCTGCGAGTGTGGGTCTGAGAGTGTGGGTCTGTGTGGGTCTGTGAGTGTGGGTCTGTGTGGGTCTGCGAGTGTGGGTGTGAGAGTGTGGGTCTGAGAGTGTGGGTCTGCGAGTGTGGGTCTGAGAGTGTGGGTCTGTGTGGGTCTGAGAGTGTGGGTCTGTGAGTGTGGGTCTGTGTGGGTCTGCGAGTGTGGGTCTGAGAGTGTGGGTCTGTGTGGGTCTGTGAGTGTGGGTCTGTGTGGGTCTGAGAGTGTGGGTCTGAGAGTGTGGGTCTGTGAGTGTGGGTCTGAGAGTGTGGGTCTGAGAGTGTGGGTCTGTGAGTGTGGGTCTGTGAGTGTGGGTCTGTGAGTGTGGGTCTGAGAGTGTGGGTCTGTGAATGTGGGTCTGTGTGGGTCTGTGAGTGTGGGTCTGAGAGTGTGGGTCTGAGAGTGTGGGTCTGTGTGGGTCTGTGAGTGTGGGTCTGAGAGTGTGGGTCTGTGAGTATTGCTAGCTTATAGCTGTCTCACCTGTCCCACGCCACAGGGGGCGCTGTGGTACTGCAAACTAAATTCCCGTTTTCCCAGTAAAAATGTCTCAACGAACTCAATGTAAACTAAAACAGCTCGACCTCAGCTGACAGAGAACCTGACAGAGAACCTGACAGAGAACCTGACAGAGAACCTACAGAGAACCTGACAGAGAACCTACAGAGAACCTGACAGAGAACCTGACAGAGAACCTGACAGAGAACCTACAGAGAACCTGACAGAGAACCTACAGAGAACCTGACAGAGAACCTGACAGAGAACCTGACAGAGAACCTACAGAGAACCTGACAGAGAACCTACAGAGAACCTGACAGAGAACCTGACAGAGAACCTACAGCTTTCAAAAAGGAGGATTTTGTGGATTTTAGTGTTTCTTGTCGTCCTGAACTTTTTTTTTTTACTGCAACAAACTCTGCTCGAATGTCTCCCGCTCAAACTCCGCTGCTCTGATTGGTCAGAACGCTGCCCTCTGATTGGTCAGAACGCTGCCCTCTGATTGGTCAGAACGCTGCCCTCTGATTGGTCAAAACGCTGCCCTCTGATTGGTCAAAACGCTCCCCTCTGATTGGTCAAAACGCTGCCCTCTGATTGGTCAGAACGCTGCCCCTCTGTACAAATGCATGAGAGCCACACACGCATATTTGGCGCAAAGCATCATGGGAGTTCATCCACTGTGCAGAACTGGGAGGACCAGAGAAATTACCAAAAATGGGGAGTTCTGCTAATCTCTCGGCCCCCGTGGTTAGGCGCCACTGATGTGAACAGGACGCCATCTGGGATCAGTGGGGCTGGATCCATAGAGTCCATAGGAAACGTGCGAGACTGAGCCCGGAACATTCCTGGTCCATTTGTTGATATTCTCTGGTGTTTCGATGGTTTCTGGTTCGTTCTGAAGTTGCTCTGGGTAAAGACGGCTGAACTTTGGAGCAGGACGTGGCACTATCTGACCTTTCTGCTCTGACCTTTGGGAGACCTTCACGTTCGCGCTGTCTGCTCCGACAACTTTAGAACGTGAGGAAGGGAAGTTTATTTGTGTTGCACAGTTTATACACGAGGAAACTCACCGGGCTCAAAGAAACATTAAAAACACAGGCTCAGACGACTACTCTGGTCTCTCTCTGGTCTCTCTCTGGTCTCTCTCTGGTCTCTCTCTGATCCCTCCCTCTGGTCTCTCTCTGGTCTCTCTCTCTGGTCTCTCTCTGGTCTCTCCCTTTGGTCTCTCTCTGGTCTCTCTCTCTGGTCTCTCTCTGGTCTCTCTTTGGTCTCTCTCTGGTCTCTCTCTCTGGTCTCTCTCTGGTCTCTCCCTTTGGTCTCTCTCTGGTCTCTCTCTGGTCTCTCTCTGGTCTCTCCCTTTGGTCTCTCTCTGGTCTCTCTGGTCTCTCTCTGGTCTCTCTGGTCTCTCTTTCTGGTCTCTCTCTGGTCTCTCCCTCTGGTCTCTCTCTGGTCTCTCTTTCTGGTCTCTCTCTGGTCCTCAGAGTCTGCAGTGATTTAGCAGCAGCTAATGAGACTCTGCGATGTCTTCTTCTTCTTCTTCTTCTCTTTGCTCAGGCTCTGCGCAGGGATTAGCCGCGCCCGCCTTGGGACGGGCCGCCGTTAAGTCACGTACGCGCTCGCCGCCCCCGACCCAAACACATGAGAGGCGCACACCACAGGCCAACCATGAAGAAGATCTACATCGGCAAAACGGCCTTAAAGGTGTCCCGCAACGGAGGCAAGCACCCGAAGAAGAGGTGAGGCCCGCCGCCGCCATCATCATCATCATAATCCTCATCACCTACATCATCATCCTCGTCATTATCATCACCTACATCATCATCCTCGTCATTATCATCATCATCATCACCTTCATCATCATCCTCGTCATTATCATCATCATCATCACCTTCATCATCATCTTCATCATCATAATAATCACCTTCATCATCATCATCGTCACCATCGTCACCTTCATCATCATCATAATCATCATCTTTATCATCATCACCATCATCACCTTCATCATACTCACCTTCATCATCATCATCATAATCACCTTCATCATTATCATCATCCTCATCATCACCTTTATCATCATCATCGTCATCATCACCTTCATCATCATCATCGTCATCATCATCTTCATCATTATCATCATCGTCATCATCATCACCCTCATCATTATCATCATCACCTTCATCATCATCATAATCGCCTTCATCATTATAGTCCCCTTCATCATCACTGTCACCTTCATCATCATCATCATAATCACCTTCATCATTATCATCGTCATCATACTCACCTTCATCATCATCATCATCCCCTTCATCATCATCCTCATCATCACCTTCATCATCATACTCACCTTCATCATCATCATCACCTTCATCATCATCCTCATCACCTTCATCATCATCTTTATCATCATCATCATACTCACCTTCATCATCATCATCATCACCTTCATCATCACCATCATCACCTTCATCCTCATCACCTTCATCTTCATCATCATCATCATCATCATCATACTCACCTTCATCATCATCTTCATACTCACCTTCATCATCACCTTCATCATCATCATCATCTTCATTATCATCATCATGATAACATCATGCTAAAGCTAACATCATGCTAAAGCTAACATCATGCCAAAGCTAACATTATGCTAAAGCTAACATCATGCTAAAGCTAACATCATGCTAAAGCTAGTATCATGCTAAAGCTAACGTCATGCTAAAGCTAGCATCATGCTAAAGCTAACGATCACATTGAGCCCCTTCACTTTCAACTGAACTGTTGTATGTAATAAGATCCACTCGTTCCTCGCTCTCTGAGCAGTTGCTTCCATATGGTTCTCACATATATATTTAGCGTCTGTGGCGTCTTTAGATCAGATTTTTTAGAAAGAAAACACTTTTAAACTTTTCCACTGGAAGCTTTGTTAGCACAGATGCTACGAAGTCACAACATCAGAATAACTGACACCTCTCTGGTTTCTATGTTTTTATACTTTTTATCCTAACACCGGAAATGTTTGATCCAGAGCGAGAACAAACCCACATCTCGCTTCCCACCTCGTGTTTCACCGTTTTGCATATTAAAGTGACATTTCAGAACATTAGAAAAAGCAGTCGTTTACAGCACTGCTCCGTGACCACCGCCTCCGTACGCTGTGGAAAAGGACAGAACATGAGGTAATAAATGCTTCAATCAGATTTATTTATAGAGCGCGTTACGACACTCAAGGCTTCACAATAAAATCACAAAAAATACATTCAGACAATAAAACAAAACAGTTAAAAAGAATAAAAAAGCGTCACCGGGTTTATAGGAGGATTTTCCCAAGTTTTAGGAAAGAACCACTCTCTCCACTTTTTTAACAAAACTCTCTGGTCTTATTGGACGAGCACTGGAATGATTGACAGTTGGGAGGCCCAATAGACTTGATGGACCACCCGGAAGTAGAAAATTCTCCTATAAACCCTGGTACAGGGTATAGCTAACCTGCTAGCTCAAAAATGCTATACCCGATTTATTTTCTAATGAGTTCATAAAAAGGCTTACTACTACAGACAAGTTGTATTATAATCCATAATTTACTGTAAAACTTGAGCTCATTGATTCAGCTGTGTATGAATTCAGGCGTAAAAAGTGCTGAGTAGAGACTTAGCGTGACGCCCGCTCTCCTCCAATCACAGAACGAGGCTGCGTCCTCTAGCCTCTACAGCGCTGCTAACCACAGTAGCATGTTAGCATACGTGGCTATAACTCCTCTGGCTGTAACTGCAGACACAGCAAAACACCATCTACGCTCGGACTATCTACGCTCGGACTATCTACGCTCAGACTGTCTACGCTCGGACTATCTACGCTCAGATTATCTATGCTCGGACTATCTACGCTCTGACTATCTACGCTCAGACTATCTACGCTCGGACTATCTACGCTCGGACTATCTACGCTCAGATTATCTATGCTCGGACTATCTACGCTCTGACTATCTACGCTCAGACTATCTACGATCGGACTATCTACGCTCGGACAATCTACACTCGGACTATCTACGCTCGGACTATCTACGCTCGGACTATATACGCTCGGACTATCTACGCTCTGACTATCTACGCTCCGACTATCTACGCTCCGACTATCTACGCTCCGACTATCTACGCTCCGACTATCTACGCTCCGACTATCTACGCTCGGACTATCTACGCTCGGACTATCTACGCTCTGACTATCTACGCTCCGACTATCTACGCTCCGACTATCTACGCTCGGACTATCTACGCTCCGACTATCTACGCTCCGACTATCTACGCTCGGACTATCTACACGCTCGGACTATCTACGCTCGGACTATCTACGCTCGGACTATCTACGCTCGGACTATCTACACGCTCGGACTATCTACACGCTCGGACTATCTACGCTCCGACTATCTACGCTCCGACTATCTACGCTCCGACTATCTACGCTCCGACTATCTACGCTCCGACTATCTACGCTCCGACTATCTACGCTCGGACTATCTACACGCTCGGACTATCTACGCTCTGACTATCTACGCTCCGACTATCTACGCTCCAACTATCTACGCTCGGACTATCTACGCTCCGACTATCTACGCTCCGACTATCTACGCTCGGACTATCTACACGCTCGGACTATCTACGCTCCGACTATCTACGCTCGGACTATCTACGCTCGGACTATCTACACGCTCGGACTATCTACGCTCCGACTATCTACGCTCCGACTATCTACGCTCGGACTATCTACACGCTCGGACTATCTACGCTCGGACTATCTACACGCTCGGACTATCTACGCTCTGACTATCTACGCTCCGACTATCTACGCTCTGGCTACATTTGGACGTGAAACTAGCGGTAATCTTTCAGTTATATATTGTGTTAGCAGTGCGTTGCTTTTGGACCTTTTCATCAGTGATTGTTGTACAGCTTATGAGAAGTTGCGCTAATGCTAATGTTAGCATATGTATCAGATCACAAATAAAACTAGATGTCTCTGGGAGGAGAGCGTCGGGGAAATGAGAAGCCTGTGAGCGAGTTCGGGGGGCGGGGCTAAACATTCAAACCTGCAGAAACAGGTATATCTCCTTTAATACTTGCTCCTCAGTCTGTAAACTTCCTATGGGATGAATGATGGTGAAAAATCTTTCTTAATGTGAGCCAATTTTAGACAAATTTGGTTTTAAAAAGATGTCTCCTTTGGAATGAGAAAATAAAGCTACAGTTCCTGAAACTAAACTGTCGTCATCCCACTGAAGTCAGAGTGCGTCTGTAGGTGACGAAAAACACATTCATGACTTTATATTTGATCAGTTTTTGCAGTGAGCGCTGAGTAAACATGAGCCATCACAGAGTGTTTATGTGATGTATTAGTGTTTAAGGGCCGCAAGCGGGGATGTGGGGCCCCAGACATTTACTGTAGGTGTGAGCAAAGAGAGAGAGATCAGAGAGAGACCAGAGAGAGATCAGAGAGAGATCAGAGAGAGACCAGAGAGAGACCAGAGAGAGAGACCAGAAAGAGACCAGAGAGAGAGACCAGAGAGAGGCCATGAGAGAGAGACCAGAGAGAGGCCATGAGAGAGACCAGAGAGAGACCAGAAAGAGACCAGAGAGTGACCAGAGAGAGACCAGAGAGTGACCAGAGAGTGACCAGAGAGAGACCAGAGAGAGACCAGAGAGAGACCAGAGAGAGACCAGAGAGAGAGAGACCAGAAAGAGACCAGAGAGAGACCAGAGAGAGGCCATGAGAGAGACCAGAGAGAGACCAGAAAGAGACCAGAGAGTGACCAGAGAGAGACCAGAGAGTGACCAGAGAGTGACCAGAGAGAGACCAGAGAGAGACCAGAGAGAGACCAGAGAGAGAGACCAGAGAGAGGCCATGAGAGAGACCAGAGAGAGACCAGAAAGAGACCAGAGAGTGACCAGAGAGTGACCAGAGAGAGAGACCAGAGAGAGACCAGAGAGAGACCAGAGAGAGACCAGAGAGAGACCAGAGAGAGAGACCAGAGAGAGGCCATGAGAGAGACCAGAGAGAGACCAGAAATACAATACAATACAATACAATTTATTCTTGTATAGCCCTAGGTCACAACAGAAGTCATCTCAGAGACTTAACAAAACCATTGAAATCACCAACACAGGTCAGAGGTCAACAGTTAAAACACATGAAGAATACAGTATAAAGCACACACAGAAGAAAATGTCCATACATGTTGTAGAATGCTAAAGTGTCCTGATCATCACCAATCCTTTCTGTTGGACACTAACTGTCCAACAAGACCCTCCTGCATCGACAAGGAAAAACTCTTAAAAAACCCAGTGGGAAAAAGTGAGAAACCAGAGAGTGACCAGAGAGTGACCAGAGAGAGAGACCAGAGAGAGACCAGAGAGAGACCAGAGAGAGAGACCAGAGAGAGACCAGAGAGAGACCAGAGAGACACTAGAGAGAGACTAGAGAGATTAGAGAGAAACCAGAGAGAGACCAGAGAGAGACACAAGTTTGTGTGTAGTGTGTGAGATTGTAACAGGTTTCAAAGTTTTCACGTGTGCTTTTCCATCTGCATGTTTTCTCACCGACTACAGTTCACAACTTTTTACAGTGAAGGTTTAGTATTGATACTATTGTGTGTGTGTGTGTCTCTGTGTGTCTCTGTGTGTGCGTCTGTGTATGTGTCTCTGTGTGTACATCCGTGTGCGTCCGTGTGAATCTGTGTGTGTCTGTGTGTGTGCGTCTGTGTGTAGTTCGTTGTTGGAGCAGAAGGAGGACCTGAGGAAGCGTCTCTCGTACACGACGCACAAACTGGAGCTGCTGCAGAATGAGTTCGACTCCACCAAAGTTTATCTGGAAACAGAGCTGCGGCGAGCACAGGAGGAGCTGGACAAGTTCACAGACAAACTCCGCAGGTGAGAGCACACTGAGGGCGAGAGAGCACTGCAGGCGAGGGAGCACACTGCAGAAGAGAGTACACTGCAGAAGAGAGTACACTGCAGGCGAGGGAGCACACATGGAGGCGAGGTTACTTGTATAGCATCAGGGTGTTTCTCTCTGGTCTCTCCCTCTGGTCTCTCTCTCTGGTCTCTCTCTGGTCTCTCTCTGGCCTCTCTCTGGTCTCTCTCTGGTCTCTCTCTGGTCTCTCTCTGGCCTCTCTCTGGTCTCTCTCTGGTCTCTCTCTCTGGTCTCTCTCTCTGGTCTCTCTCTGGTCTCTCTCTGGCCTCTCTCTGGTCTCTCTCTGGTCTCTCTCTGGTCTCTCTCTGGCCTCTCTCTGGTCTCTCTCTGGTCTCTCTCTGGTCTCTGTCTGGTCTCTCTCTGGTCTCTCTCTGGTCTCTCTCTGGCCTCTCTCTGGCCTCTCTCTGGCCTCTCTCTGGTCTCTCTCTGGTCTCTCTCTGGTCTCTCTCTGGCCTCTCTCTGGCCTCTCTCTGGCCTCTCTCTGGTCTCTCTCTGGTCTCACTCTGGTCTCTCTCTGGTCTCTCTCTGGTCTCTCTCTGGTCTCTCTCTGGTCTCTCTCTGGTCTCTCTCTGGCCTCTCTCTGGTCTCTCTCTGGTCTCTCTCTGGTCTCTCTCTGGTCTCTCTCTGGTCTCTCTCTGGTCTCTCTCTGGTCTCTCTCTGGTCTCTCTCTGGTCTCTCTCTGGTCTCTCTCTGTATAAAGTGCTGAGTTCTGTCCTGAGTGTGACCCGAGCTTTAGCACATGGTCCAGATGGAGCCACAGGCGACTGCAGAACAGAGACTCCATCTGTCACTGAACCAGGACTGAACCAGGACTGAACCAGGACTAAACCAGGACTAAACCAGGACTGAACCAGGACTAAAGCAGGACTGAACCAGGACTAAAGCAGGACTGAACCAGGACTGAAGCAGGACTGAACCAGGACTGAACCAGGACTGAACCAGGACTAAAGCAGGACTGAACCAGGACTGAACCTGGACTGAACCTGGACTGAAGCAGGACTGAAGCAGGACTAAAGCAGGACTGAAGCAGGACTGAACCAGGACTGAACCAGGTCAGATCAGGATTGAAGAAGGACTAAAACTGGATTAAACCAGGACTGAGCCAGGACTAAAGCAGGACTGAACCAGGTCTAAACCAGGACTGAGCCAGGACTAAAGCAGGACTGAACCAGGACTGAACCATGACTAAATGTTGCGTGTGCTCTCTGTGCAGAATACAGAGCGGATACTCAGCGCTGCAGAGGATCAACCAGGACCTGGAGGAGAAGATCCACCGAGACGTGAGTCCTGAAGCACGTAGCACTTTATCTGCTTCAGTTTCACTTTGAAATGAAGGATTCTTTGACGAAAGTACAAATCATTATTTCTAACCTTGTCAATGTCTTGACTCTATTTTCTGTTCATTTCACAACGTATGGTGGTGAATAAGTGTGACTTTTCATGAAAAACACTTGGTTTTTGGTTTTGGTTTGGTGACCCCAAACTTTTTAACGGTAGTGTATATATTAACGGACAGAGTCAGTATCTCCACCATTTTAACTAATGGGCCAAAAATTGTGCTCTACTGGAGCAATCCAAAATGGCCTCGAGTGGTCCCGCCCACAAGAAAATTGTGAAAAAAACGCATCTGCGCATGCGCATGACTTCTAAAGTCCACAGCGACTAAACTAGACTGGTCCAGAACACTCAGCATTGACACACATGTGGAACGGAGTTTTGGGCCAAGAGACAACTTTTGGACCATCCTGTAAAGACGTTTTCCAGAGGTCTGCTAACGCTATATGTTAGCATATAGCATTAGCAGCTCTGGGAGTTACAGGCGGAGAGCATCGTTCACCCTTCATACTTCCCCATCAATTATTCTCTCATATATTTTCTACAGATTAAAAAAACAGTCTAATTATCTACAGTTATTGTTTTGGCCAAACATCTGTAATATTTCTTATTTAAAGCTGGGATACCTCACTTTTTTCTTTCACAAATAACACATGTTTATAATATTAGAAAAACAAAAGTCTGACTATCTGACTGTTTGGGCTGAGAGCTGATTGGCTGAGAGGGGGTGGTCCTCTCTTTGTCGCTGATATAAAAACGTGACAGTGTTTTGCTGTTTTCATTATTCTCAGTCCATTCTAAGTGATAATAATTTCAGCGATACACCATTTGTCTAACAATGGTGACCCTCTGTCCTCGATTCAGAATCTGACCCTGATTATTCAGAAGGATACGGCGAGTTATTGGATTCTCTCTCCTGTCAATCACCTCCTGGGGGCGGGGCTTCTGGAGCTCGAGCTGGAGAACGAAAGAGAAAGATTGTTGAGAAGAAGCTTGAGGGAATCACTGAAAGAACTCAAACTAATTATGTTTAAAGCAGAGAAAGGTCTAAAAGCGTTACATGGGACCTTTCATTTCTCTGTGGTTTTAAAGTTACGCACCTCAGCTTTAACATCATATACACACGATCCACACTCGCTGCCTGTCAGACACGTACAGCAGCACTCATTGGTCCAAACTGTCGTCCTCCTCGCGCTGTGATTGTTCTCTGGTCCGGGCTTCACTGGGAGAACAAGCAAACACACAATTATCTGTCTTCTCTGCAGACGCATCAGGTGCCGGCCGTCGTGAACTGTGTGGGGAAGCTAACGATAGCGGTGTTGTGTGTTAGCGTTAGCGCAGTTGTTGTGATGACAGAGCTCAAGGCGATGGTCCGTGTGATGTTTGGAGACTCAGTGGGAAATAACTCACTAGCTCAATGCTAAACCACTAACTCAATGCTATCCAGCTAGCTCAATGCTATCCAGCTAGCTCAATGCTAAACCACTAACTCAATGCTATCCAGCTAGCTCAATGCTAAACCACGAACTCAATGCTATCCAGCTAGCTCAATGCTAAACCACGAACTCAATGCTATCCAGCTAGCTCAATGCTAAACCACTAACTCAATGCTATCCAGCTAGCTCAATGCTAAACCACTAACTCAATGCTAACGTGCTAGCTCAATGCTAAACCACTAACTCAATGCTAACTTGCTAGCTCAATACTATTCAGCTAGCTCAATGCTAAACCACTAACTCAATGCTAACTTGCTAGCTCAATGCTATCCAGCTAGCTCAATGCTAAACCACTAACTCAATGCTATCCAGCTAGCTCAATGCTAAACCACTAACTCAATGCTATCCAGCTAGCTCAATGCTAAACCACTAACTCAATGCTATCCAGCTAGCTCAATGCTAAACCACGAACTCAATGCTATCCAGCTAGCTCAATGCTAAACCACGAACTCAATGCTATCCAGCTAGCTCAATGCTAAACCACTAACTCAATGCTATCCAGCTAGCTCAATGCTAAACCACTAACTCAATGCTAACGTGCTAGCTCAATGCTAAACCACTAACTCAATGCTAACTTGCTAGCTCAATACTATTCAGCTAGCTCAATGCTAAACCACTAACTCAATGCTAACGTGCTAGCTCAATGCTAAACCACTAACTCAATGCTATACAGCTAGCTCAATGCTATCCAGCAAGCTCAATGCTAAACCACTAACTCAATGCTATCCAGCTAGCTCAATGCTAAACCACTAACTCAATGCTATCCAGCTAGCTCAATGCTAAACCACTAACTCAATGCTATCCAGCTAGCTCAATGCTAAACCACTAACTCAATGCTAACTTGCTAGCTCAATGCTATCCAGCTAGCTCAATGCTAAACCACTAACTCAATACTATTCAGCTAGCTCAATGCTAAACCACTAACTCAATGCTAACCTGCTAGCTCAATGCTAAACCACTAACTCAATGCTATCCAGCTAGCTCAATGCTATCCAGCAAGCTCAATGCTAAACCACTAACTCAATGCTATCCAGCTAGCTCAATGCTAAACTACTAACTCAATGCTATCCAGCTAGCTCAATGCTAAACCACTAACTCAATGCTATCCAGCTAGCTCAATGCTAAACCACTAACTCAATGCTATTCAGCTAGCTCAATGCTAAACCACTAACTCAATGCTATCCAGCTAGCTCAATGCTAAACCACTAACTCAATACTATTCAGCTAGCTCAATGCTAAACCACTAACTCAATGCTATTCAGCTAGCTCAATGCTAAACCACTAACTCAATGCTAACGTGCTAGCTCAATGCTAAACCACTAACTCAATACTATTCAGCTAGCTCAATGCTAAACCACTAACTCAATGCTAACCTGCTAGCTCAATGCTAAACCACTAACTCAATGCTATCCAGCTAGCTCAATGCTATCCAGCAAGCTCAATGCTAAACCACTAACTCAATGCTATACAGCTAGCTCAATGCTATCCAGCAAGCTCAATGCTAAACCACTAACTCAATACTATCCAGCTAGCTCAATGCTAAACCACTAACTCAATGCTAACGTGCTAGCTCAATGCTAAACCACTAACTCAATGCTATCCAGCTAGCTCAATGCTATCCAGCAAGCTCAATGCTAAACCACTAACTCAATGCTATCCAGCTAGCTCAATGCTAAACCACTAACTCAATGCTATCCAGCTAGCTCAATGCTAAACCACTAACTCAATGCTATCCAGCTAGCTCAATGCTAAACCACTAACTCAATGCTAACGTGCTAGCTCAATGCTAAACCACTAACTCAATGCTATCCAGCAAGCTCAATGCTAAACCACTAACTCAATGCTATCCAGCTAGCTCAATGCTAAACCACTAACTCAATGCTATCCAGCTAGCTCAATACTATCCAGCTAGCTCAATGCTAAACCACTAACTCAATGCTAACCTGCTCATTTTACCCTATTTGCCCCCCCCTGCCCCCTGTGGTCCCACCCCCCTCCTCTGTCCCCCTGTGGTCCCACCCCCCTCCTCTGTCCCCCTGTGGTCCCACCCCCCTCACTGTCCCCCTGTGGTCCCACCCCCCTCACTGTCCCCCTGTGGTCCCCCCCCCTCCTCTGTCCCCCTGTGGTCCCACCCCCCTCACTGTCCCCCTGTGGTCCCACCCCCTCCTCTGTCCCCTGGGTCCCACCCCCTCCTCAGTCCCCCTGTCCCCACCCCCTGTCCCCCTGTGGTCCCACCCCCCCCTCCCCTGTCCCCCCCCTGTCCCCGGTCCCACCCCCCCCTCAGTCCCCCTGTGGTCCCACCCCCCTCCTCTGTCCCCCTGTGGTCCCACCCCCCTCCTCAGTCCCCCTGTGGTCCCACCCCCCCCCCCCCTCAGTCCCCCTGTGGTCCCACCCCCCTCCTCTGTCCCCCTGTGGTCCCACCCCCCTCCTCAGTCCCCCTGTGGTCCCACCCCCCCCCCCCCCCTCAGTCCCCCTGTGGTCCCACCCCCCTCCTCTGTCCCCCTGTGGTCCCACCCCCCTCCTCAGTCCCCCTGTGGTCCCACCCCCCTCCTCTGTCCCCCTGTGGTCCCACCCCCCTCCTCAGTCCCCCTGTGGTCCCACCCCCCTCCTCAGTCCCCCTGTGGTCCCACCCCCCTCACTGTCCCCCTGTGGTCCCACCCCCCTCCTCAGTCCCCCTGTGGTCCCACCCCCCTCACTGTCCCCCTGTGGTCCCACCCCCCTCACTGTCCCCCTGTGGTCCCCCTGTGGTCCCCCTCGGTCTCGGCCCCGCGCCCGGGTCATGGGCCTTGGTGTTGGAGCAGCTCTATCAGTGATGTCTCTGAGGCGCCTGTGGAAATGTTGCCTTTGAACACAGAAGGATCTTTTCAATACATTTGTGCCAAAGTGTGCGGCAAAAAGGAGAGAGACGGTAACCATGGTAACCAGCCTCCTCTCAGAGTGTTTCAGAACCAACACAAACCCATCCAGAACTCACCGTTTGGGTTCAAGACACATCACAGGGTCTCGAGAGACCAGAGGGAGACCAGAGGGAGACCAGAGAGAGACCAGAGAGAGACCAGAGAGAGACCAGAGAGAGAGACCAGAGAGAGACCAGAGAGAGACCAGAGAGAGACCAGAGAGAGACCAGAGAGAGAGACCAGAGAGAGAGACCAGAGGGAGACCAGAGAGAGACCAGAGAGAGACCAGAGAGAGACCAGAGAGAGACCAGAGAGAGAGAGACCAGAGAGAGAGACCAGAGAGAGACACCAGAGAGAGACCAGAGAGAGAGACCAGAGAGAGAGACCAGAGAGAGACCAGAGAGAGACCAGAGAGAGACCAGAGAGAGACCAGAGAGAGACCAGAGAGAGACCAGAGAGAGAGAACAGAGAGAGAGACCAGAGAGAGACCAGAGAGGGACCAGAGAGAGACCAGAGAGAGACCAGAGAGAGACCAGAGAGAGACCAGAGAGAGACCAGAGAGAGACCAGAGAGAGACCAGAGAGAGACCAGAGAGAGACCAGAGAGAGAGACCAGAGAGAGACCAGAGAGAGACCAGAGAGAGACCAGAGAGGAAACTGCAGCCACTAAGATCATGTTGGAAAGGCTCATGGACCAGAGTTTAAGCTAACTTTGACCATGTGTGTGCACATGGTGTACAGTCTGTGGGTAGTCGTCAGAGGACCTACGACACCTGTGACACCTTTGCCATTTGTACAAGATTAAAAAGTAAAAACATTGTGAGATTTCCATCCATCCATGTTCTACCCTTTAATCCATTTCTGGGTCAGGGGGGTGACAGTCAGAGAGACCACCCAAGTCTCATAGCACCAGCCCCTCACTGACCCTCTTCCAGCGGGGGCTTTGGGCAAAGTGGGGTTAAGTGTCTTGCCCAAGGACACAACGACAGCAGTCATCAGTGGGAGTCGGTGGAGAAGGTGTAGAGGTGGGAATTGAACCCACGACCTTCTGGGCTTAAGGCCAATGCTCTACCAACTGAGCTACTGTCGCCCCATTGTGAGATTTATTGTTTACAGAGTTTTTTTTTCTGTCTTTCTTCAGTCGCAGCATCACGACGACGAGAAGCGAGCGCTGAGCCGAGAGATCATCGTCCTCAACAACCGCCTGGTGGAAGCTAAACTTAGCATCGACAAGCTACAAGACGACAATGTGAGGCTACTGCTAATGCTACTGCTGCTGCTAATGCTACTGCTGCTTCTACTGCTAATGCTACTGCTACTGCTGCTGCTGCTGCTGCTGTTACTGCTGTTACTGCCACTGCTACTGCTGCTTCTACTGCTACTGCTGCTGCTAATACTACTGCTACTGCTGCTGTTACTGCTGCTACTAATGCTACTGCTGCTTCTACTGCTAATGCTACTGCTACTGCTGCTGCTGCTGCTGCTGTTACTGCTGTTACTGCCACTGCTACTGCTGCTTCTACTGCTACTGCTGCTGCTAATACTACTGCTACTGCTGCTGTTACTGCTGCTACTAATGCTACTGCTGCTTCTACTGCTAATGCTACTGCTACTGCTGCTGCTGCTGCTGCTGTTACTGCTGTTACTGTTACTGCCACTGCTACTGCTGCTTCTACTGCTACTGCTGCTGCTAATACTACTGCTACTGCTGCTGTTACTGCTGCTACTAATGCTACTGCTGCTTCTACTGCTAATGCTACTGCTACTGCTGCTGTTACTGCTGCTACTGCCACTGCTACTGCTGCTTCTACTGCTACTGCTACTACTGCTACTAATGCTACTGCTGCTACTGCTGCTACTGCTGCTACTGCCACTGCTACTGCTGCTACTAATGCTACTGTTACTGCTACTGCTACTGCTACTGCTGCTACTGCCACTGCTACTGCTGCTACTGCTGCTACTGCCACTGCTACTGCTGCTACTAATGCTATTACTGCTACTGCTACTGCTACTACTGCTACTAATGCTACTGCTGCTACTGCTGCTACTGCTGCTACTGCCACTGCTACTGCTGCTACTAATGCTACTGTTACTGCTACTGCTAATGCTACTGCTGCTACTGCCACTGCTACTGCTGCTACTGCTGCTACTGCCACTGCTACTGCTGCTACTAATGCTATTACTGCTACTGCTACTACTGCTACTAATGCTACTGCTGCTACTGCTGCTACTGCTGCTACTGCCACTGCTACTGCTGCTACTAATGCTACTGTTACTGCTACTGCTACTGCTACTGCTGCTACTGCTGCTACTAATGCTATTACTGCTGCTGCTACTGCTACTACTGCTACTAATGCTACTGCTGCTACTGCCACTGCTACTGCTGCTACTAATGCTATTACTGCTACTGCTACTGCTACTACTGCTACTAATGCTACTGCTGCTACTGCTGCTACTGCTGCTACTGCCACTGCTACTGCTGCTACTAATGCTACTGTTACTGCTACTGCTACTGCTACTGCTGCTACTGCTGCTACTAATGCTATTACTGCTGCTGCTACTGCTACTACTGCTACTAATGCTACTGCTGCTGCTGCTACTGCTGCTACTAATGCTACTGCTACTACTGCTACTACTGCTACTGTTACTGCTACTGCTACTGCTACTGCTGCTACTAATGCTACTGCTGCTACTGCCACTGCTACTGCCACTGCTACTGCTGCTACTAATGCTACTGCCACTGCTACTGCTGCTACTAATGCTATTACTGCTGCTGCTACTACTGCTACTGCTGCTACTACTGCTACTAATGCTACTGCTGCTACTACTACCCCGAATATTGATATGTGCTATATCTGCCGCATTCAATTGATGTGTCCACTGTGTGTTTGTGTGTGCATGTGTGTGTTTGTGTGTGTCCGTGTGTGTGTGTGCATGTGTGCGTTTGTGTGTGTGTGTGTGTAGGAAATGTACCGTAAGGACTGCTCTCTGGCGACGCAGCTGCTGCAGTGTCGAGCGCAGATGGACGAGGTGACTGTTTACCTATAACCCAAGGGGGGGAGTGTGGGGGGGACCTGTCCACTTTTAATCCACAGTCACCACACTGTTAGCCTTTATGGTAAAGTAGTCGATTTGAACGTAAGCTAGCTCCATCCATTTTCACTATGTTGACATTGTTTCTTTACTCTGTTCTTTCTTACTACTAACTTTTATAGTTAGTCAAATGTCTTTGTCCCTTTACACTAGATTTTCATTGAGCTAGACTCACATTGACACTAATGATAGACCCGGCTCCAAAAGGTCCATGAGCTCGAGCACTGACATGCTGCAGTCTCACTGCGGGTCTGTGGGGGTGTACCCGGAAAGAGAATTACCCAATGCTTTTGTATGGTGTCTTCTTTCCTCTCAAAAATCTGTTAATGGGCCAAAAGTGGTTCTTGGGCCAAAAGTGGTTCTTGGGCCAAAAGTGGCTCTTGGTCCAAAAGTGGCTCTTGGTCCAAAAGTGGCTCTTGGTCCAAAAGTGGCTCTTGGTCCAAAAGTGGCTCTTGGTCCAAAAGTGGCTCTCGGTCGATGTTGATTTTTTTTTGGACCAGTCTAGTTTAGTCGCCGTGGACTTTTGAATGCACTCGTTAAAAGAATGTGGCTTGTGCGGCTAACACTAACATTTTCCAGCCCCCGTTGTGAAAAGGCTCCACAGACTGTGAGAGTGATGTCACATGAGCGGTGGAGACAGCAGGGACTGCGTCCTTCATGTTTACAGTCTATAATAAACCCGAGCTCTCTGTTCCAGCTGCCGGCAGACTTCCAGGAGCACATGACTCTTCACCTGGAGGAGGAGGAGGAGGAGGAGCCCCCCTTGTATGCGGAGCCGGGGGCCCCCCTGTATGCAGAGCCGGGGCCCCCCCTGTACGCAGAGCCGGGGCCCCCCTCTCACCTGGAGAAGCCTGAGCGCTGCAGCAGCCACGGCTCCCGCTCGCCCAGTCCCAGCCCCCCCACAGAGCACACCTTCATCCTGCAGAGCCTGGGGGGGCCGGGGGGCCGGCTGGGGCTGCGTGCCGCCTACAAGTCCGACCTTTACAGCAGCGATACGGCCCTGTACTGTCCCGACGACAGGCAGCGAGAGAGACGCCCCAGCATGGACCTGAGGACCCCAGTGTACGGGCCCCAGAACTCCACGGACAGCCAGAGGTGAGGGGCCTCTCACTCAGTTTGTTTGGCATTTGCAGTAAAACCACATTGGAATACATGTGCAAGAGTCTTCAGTGTGCAGCAGACAAGAGCAGGGATAAAACAAGATTAAAGTGAAGGTAAAAAAGACTGAACTTACTTTACTTTATTTCTCAGAATTCCATTAGTTTGAATGTGAGCAGTCAAAATGACGGCTCTGGGAGTTCTAGTGTACAGTGTCTAGTGAACAGTACTTCCTGTGCTCAGAGTAACTACTTCCTGTTCTCAGAGTAACTACTTCCTGTTCTCAGAGTAACTACTTCCTGTTCTCAGAGAAACTACTTCCTGCTCTCAGAGTAACTACTTCCTGCTCTCAGAGTAACTACTTCCTGCTCTCAGAGTAACTACTTCCTGTGCTCCTGCAGTAACCCTGAGGACAGCTCCGTGGGCCTGGCGCAGACCTTCTCTCAGGACCCCTTCTCTAAATTCCCTCCTCTGGGAACCGGCTCCAGCTCCTACTCCAGCTTCAGTGTCTCCGAGGACAAGCCCCAGGGCGGGGCCAGCTCCACAGGCTCCTCCCCCCAGCGCCCCCCCCACACCCTCTACATGGAATGGCGGGACGCGGCGCACTACGACGAGGAGCGCAAGAGCGAGTCGTCGTGGGATGGAGGCGACCCCGACAGCCTGTTCTGCGACGCCACCTCCTTCCAGCAGGGGGAGACGCACTCCCCCGTCTACAGCCGCACCATGTCGTCTTGCTTCAGCGAGCCGTACGAGCCGCTGCCGCCCTCCTCCTCCCCGAGCGTGGCGTACGGCGAGGACAGCCGGCGCGGCAGCACGTTGGCGCCCGAGGAGGAGGAGCTGATCTGCCGCTGGAGGCAGCTGAGCGCAGAGGACCTGCACCGCAGCCCGGGCCGCGCCTCGCCCTACAGCTTCTCCGAGCAGCACTTCTGCGTGCGGCCCGCCAAGATCCGCCTCGGCCCCGTCTACAGCAGCTTCCAGGACGGCGCCGACTACTACCACCTCCAGCAGCAGGCGGCGGAGCGCTGGGCGGGCGCGGCGGCCAGCCAGGACGGCGAGCACAGCGAGCACATGTACCGGGCTGAGGAGGGCGGCCGCGGCTCCCAGCAAAGCCTGTACCACTCCCCGAAGGACAGGGAGGGGGCGGGGCCAGGGGCGGGGCCAGAGGAGGAGCAGGAGTACCAGGAGGAGCCCAGTCCCTGCAGCTCCACAGAGTCTCTGTGTCGGTCTCGGTCCGTGGAGATGGCGGGAGAGCTGCAGCATTACCAGGCGGAGATGCACAGTGCGCAGGCGAGCCCCGGGGGGTCCCCCACCGCCGCGGCGTACGCGCCCCTCATGTTTGGGACGCTGGGGCTGACGCGGAAGGACAGTCTGACCAAGGCACAGCTCTACGGGACTCTGCTCAACTAGATTTTGTATTGTTTACTACGACCACGCAAAGGGCTGGGGCTGACGTCTGTACAGCAGGAGAACATTATTAATACTGTCAGTCTGTAGAACGAGGAACTCTGGGAAATACAGCAGGTTTTATAACAGTTCTGGAAGCGCAGAGGCACGAATCAGGCAGAACCTTATGACCACAGGACCATGTGCAGCTTGTCCATCCATCACTGTTCTGGTGCTGGTGTAGATTGGACTGAACACCTTTTATAAGTAATGTTTATTTATATGGCACACTTCACAGACACAGGTCCCACAAAGTGCTTTAGTGTTTGGATCTGATCATTTCCACTCATCACACTCAGATCTATTCTACATGATTTTAGTGGGAGGAGAAACCGGAGCACCTTTTTCTGGTCACTTCAGGGGCTCCATATTCAAGATTTTGTGCATTTTGTTTGTTTTAAAGTGAAGAAAATGAATCGATTAAATCTAAATTTACTGATGCACTCGCTCTCATCCATAAATGATGGAAACATCTTTATTGTGTCTGATCGAGGTAAACATGACTCATTCTGCTGTTTAAGGTCAAAACATGGTTTTAAAGAAACTAACAAATGAAAACACTTTCTGGAATTCTCCAGCTTCAGTGACAATAATAAAACGTTTTATTTATATCACACTCTACATTTCCACGAAACCTCAAAGTGCTAAACAATACATTTCCGTATTAGCGTTTATTGCGATCCTTTGAATCAACATGTGTCTGTCAGAGTTAGCATCACAGAGATGTGCCTCAACCCTCACATGAGAAGATAAAACACCATCCTTTGGTTTAGAAATGCTGTCATTTGTTTGCAGCACGTGCACGCCCCCTGGTGGCACAGTGGTGTATTACACGTACAGCTGCATCGCACCAGTTCTCATTGATGTTATGAGGTTATTGCTGGTAAACCAGTCTCCACGTGGACTAGCGGCTGCCTGCGGTACTGCAGCTTAAATCCACACAGACCTCAGAGTCCTCAGAGACAGGGAACTACAGATGTCACAAACGTCCTTTTTGAGAGGATCTCAGGGTCTTGTGTCTGCCTCAACTTTCCAACAATCCATTGGTTTTCTATAAATCCACACCTTGCGCTCTGATTGGTCAGAACGATCCCTTGTTCCTCTGGTCCTTCAGAAGTAAAACCAGTGCACAGACCGTGAGAACCAGAGCCAGAACACGTCACTTCTGCTAAAGATTGGGACGACCATGATGCGAGCCTGAGCCAATGAGCACAGGTCGTTGGTTTGAATTGGCAGACATCTTGGAGAGACCAGGGGCAGACATCTTGGAGAGACCAGGGGCAGACATCTTGGAGAGACCAGGGGCAGACATCTTGGAGAGACCAGGGGCAGACATCTTGGAGAGACCAGGGGCAGACATCTTGGAGAGACCTGAGGCAGACATCTTGGAGAGACCTGAGGCAGACATCTTGGAGAGACCAGGGGCAGACATCTTGGAGAGACCAGGGGCAGACATCTTGGAGAGACCAGGGGCAGACATCTTGGAGAGACCAGGGGCAGACATCTTGGAGAGACCAGGGGCAGACATCTTGGAGAGACCAGGGGCAGACATCTTGGAGAGACCTGAGGCAGACATCTTGGAGAGACCTGAGGCAGACATCTTGGAGAGACCAGGGGCAGACATCTTGGAGAGACCTGAGGCAGACATCTTGGAGAGACCGGGGGCAGACATCTTGGAGAGACCAGGGGCAGACATCTTGGAGAGACCAGGGGCAGACATCTTGGAGAGACCAGGGGCAGACATCTTGGAGAGACCAGGGGCTTGGTTCTCCACCAGGCTGTTCTGTGGTCATAATGTTGTGCCTGATCTTCCTGCGACAGAGTCCTGCTACTTTAGACTTTAAACAGGGGATTTATATGTTCTACAGTTTAATATTATTCAAACACCGGATGGTTTTTACGCCCAGTCCGCTGAAGCCTTTACAGCTGGTTTGAATGTAATGTAACACATGTGAGTGCTATAATATTATATTTTGTATCCATAGGAGCTCCATTGGACTTAAGTGTGTATATACGACTATAAACAGCTACTCATAACCATATATTTTACTCCAAGCTACAAAAGTAACAGTAGATGGTTTTGTCTTTTTATGCCTTCAGTTACAAATACATGTAGGATTTTCTCTTTTTCAGCTCGATGCTTTGATGGGCGTTCTCTTGTTTCTCGATGGTTTTCAGGTATCTGTGAAAATGATTAGTGATTGTCATATTATGGTTATTTCATTCTTACATGTTCTGCTTTCGGACATTCCCACGTACTTCCCGTTCTACCTCAGCTGTGCAGCCCTCACCCACACGTCGCTCCTGTCCTTTCCACGCATGTTTTGACTATTTGGTTGGTTGCAAATTCCTACATTAAAAGTTTGTTATTTCAAATCTGTCCGATGATTTTTCTTATTTTAATTTGGACCAAAACGGAGCCAGTACTTTTGTTTTAAAGTCAGGAAATAGCTGTGTCCATGACGTCATAGTCTCACGGGTCGGTGCTAAATCAGGCCAGGTATGTAGGCCAGAGGGAACACCAACTAAACACTTTTGGATCCGGGCTTTAGGTGCTGTGTTACCGCGGCAACTGGACTTCATCCATTCATTTTCTTCCCCTTAATCCATTTCTGGGTGGGTGGTGCCTGGACCTCAGCACGGTTGAAAGTGGTCAAAACACCACAACATTCACCTGTGTCCTGCTCCGGTCGCTCACACACCACACCTTTCATTCTCCTTCAGGAGCAGAGATGAACTCGGTCATGGGACCTCTAATAAAGATCATTGAAATGAAGCTAGCTCGTTAGCATTGAGCCTCTATGTCCAGTCTGTAGACGGGGAACCTAACTTTCACATGACACTGTATGTAACCAAATCAATCTAAAGAGTTCCTTCCTTCTCTAAAGAGTTTTCTATTTTCTGATCTGCTTTTTCAGACTGAACGAGAAAACCACTCGCTTTGGTCGGTGACTCACAGGGTTCTTTCTTCGTATGCAAAAGATTCGTCTTTGAGAGCGGTGCAAAAGAGAGATTTGGATTTTTTTAGCAGCAATGAGATGAATCATGGTTTGGAGACAGCTGTGTCCGCTGCAGAGCTGTGGGAGGAGGCTGCTCTGTGGACTCAGCCTCACTCGTTATGGATCACTGTGGTCCCTATTGTACCTGTGATAAAAGAGATGCTGAATGATGACAGCGGAGAGACACCAGAGAGAGACTACGAGAGACCAGAGAGAGTCCAGAGAGTCCAGAGAGACCAGAGAGAGTCCAGACAGAGACCAGAGAGTCCAGAGAGACCAGAGAGAGACCAGAGAGAGTCCAGAGAGACCAGAGAGAGTCCAGAGAGTCCAGAGAGAGACCAGAGAGACACCAGAGAGAGTCCAGAGAGAGACCAGAGAGAGTCCAGAGAGTCCAGAGAGACCAGAGAGAGACCAGAGAGACCAGAGAGAGACTACGAGAGACCAGAGAGAGTCCAGAGAGAGACCAGAGAGACACCAGAGAGAATCCAGAGAGAGTCCAGAGAGAGACCAGAGAGAGACCAGAGAGAGACCAGAGAGAGAGACCAGAGAGAAAGACCAGAGAGAGTCCAGAGAGAGACCAGAGAGAGAGACCAGAGAGAGACCAGAGAGAGACCAGAGAGAGAGACCAGAGAGAGAGACCAGAGAGAGACCAGAGAGAGACCAGAGAGAGACCAGAGAGAGACCAGAGAGAGACCAGAGAGAGTTCAGAGAGTTCAGAGAGAGACCAGAGAGAGAGACCAGAGAGAGAGACCAGAGAGAGAGACCAGAGAGAGACCAGAGAGAGAGACCAGAGAGAGTCCAGAGAGAGAGACCAGAGAGAGACCAGAGAGAGAGACCAGAGAGAGAGACCAGAGAGAGAGACCAGAGAGAGAGACCAGAGAGAGACCAGAGAGAGAGACCAGAGAGAGACCAGAGAGAGTCCAGAGAGAGTTCAGAGAGTTCAGAGAGAGACCAGAGAGAGAGACCAGAGAGAGAGACCAGAGAGAGAGACCAGAGAGAGAGACCAGAGAGAGAGACCAGAGAGAGACCAGAGAGAGACCAGAGAGAGAGACCAGAGAGAGTCCAGAGAGAGAGAGCCAGAGAGAGAGACCAGAGAGAGAGACCAGAGAGAGAGACCAGAGAGAGACCAGAGAGAGAGACCAGAGAGAGACCAGAGAGAGACCAGAGAGAGACCAGAGAGAGAGACCAGAGAGAGAGACCAGAGAGAGAGACCAGAGAGAGACCAGAGAGAGACCAGAGAGAGAGAGACCAGAGAGAGAGACCAGAGAGAGTTCAGAGAGAGACCAGAGAGAGACCAGAGAGAGACCAGAGAGAGAGACCAGAGAGAGACCAGAGAGAGACCAGAGAGAGTCCAGAGAGAGAGACCAGAGAGAGACCAGAGAGAGAGACCAGAGAGAGACCAGAGAGAGTCCAGAGAGAGAGACCAGAGAGAGACCAGAGAGAGGCCAGAGAGAGACCAGAGAGAGAGACCAGAGAGAGACCAGAGAGAGACCAGAGAGAGTCCAGAGAGAGAGACCAGAGAGAGACCAGAGAGAGGCCAGAGAGAGACCAGAGAGAGACCAGAGAGAGTCCAGAGAGAGAGACCAGAGAGAGACCAGAGAGAGACCAGAGAGAGACCAGAGAGAGACCAGAGAGAGTCCAGAGAGAGAGACCAGAGAGGGACCAGTGAGAGACCAGAGAGAGTCCAGAGAGAGTCCAGAGAGAGAGACCAGAGAGAGACCAGAGAGAGACCAGAGAGAGACCAGAGAGAGACCAGAGAGAGTCCAGAGAGAGAGACCAGAGAGAGACCAGAGAGAGACCAGAGAGAGTCCAGAGAGAGAGACCAGAGAGAGACCAGAGAGAGACCAGAGAGAGACCAGAGAGAGACCAGAGAGAGAGACTAGAGAGAGACCAGAGAGAGACCAGAGAGAGACCAGAGAGAGGTTAAAGTTCTTACCATATTTCAATGTTTTTGGTAAGAAAAACATATTTTCTTAAAGAACAGCATATTTTTTATTGTAAAAACACATTGACACAGAAACAACGCGTTCACAACAAGAGGCTACTTTTCACACAAGACCATAATTACAAAACTACTACAACCCCCAGAGCCGTCATTTTGACTGCTCCCATTCAAACCAATGGAAGTCTGAAAAATCCCACCTAAAACAGTTTTTCAGCATATTTATTAAATAAACAAACAAAACAGTTTGTTGAAAGGCTATTGCTAACACTAACTGTAAACGGTGTGTTGCTATAGTAACTAGCACTCTCCATTCTCTGGTGGAAGATAACTGATGTGAAAACACAAAGTTGTTGATTTTTAAACCCAAAACGGTGAGTGTGACACAAACGGTTACTGAGGTAGGAATGAGCTAGCGGGTTAGCATTGAGCTAGCGGGTTAGCAATGAGCTAGCGGGTTAGCATTGAGCTAGCGGGTTAGCAATGAGCTAGCGGGTTAGCATTGAGCTAGCGGGTTAGCAATGAGCTAGCGGGTTAGCATTGAGCTAGCGGGTTAGCAATGAGCTAGCGGGTTAGCAATGAGCTAGCGGGTTAGCATTGAGCTAGCGGGTTAGCATTGAGCTAGCGGGTTAGCATTGAGCTAGCGGGTTAGCAATGAGCTAGCGGGTTAGCATTGTACATCTGTTTACAGGCTATGGTTCAGACTTGTGTTCAGATATGTGTGTGTAGCTGTTATCTGGAAACACAAAACAGATGCAGCTGTAATTTTAACTGAAAATATTACGAACAGTTCCTTTACTTTCAAATTACAGTTTAAAAGAATCTTCGTGAACAAACTGTAAAAACCCACAGAAACCAACACAGAAGAAATACCGGCTTAAACCAAGACTAAACAGCCACAGCTGCCCCAACACACCTCATCACACATATTATTACTTGTTTAATTATATAATCTATAAAATGATTCTGGCCAATAGAAAAGCTGGTCTGAGGATGTGACAAAATTCATAAATGTGATATAAAAATACAATAAAAAACAAAGTTGCTGATGAGAAAATGCAGCAGGTTCTGTGCCTTTATGTTTTTACATTTTCTCCTATTTTTAAGAGCTTCTGTTGTTATTGCTTTTCCCTTTTTATCTAACGAGATTAAGATGGATTTAAGTCACTTTTAGGTATTTATGAAAGATAGGAGAGGACCGGCATGACACCAGGTGGAAGACAGGAGAGGACCGGCATGACACCAGGAGTAGGAGAGGAGAGGACCGGCACAACACCAGGAGAAAGACAGGAGAAGACCGGCACAACACCAGGAGAAAGACAGGAGAAGACCGGCACAACACCAGGAGAAAGACCGGAGAGGACCGGCACAACACCAGGAGAAAGACAGGAGAAGACCGGCACGACACCAGGAGGAAGAGAGGAGAGGACCGGCACAACACCAGGAGAAAGAGAGGAGAGGACCGGCACGACACCAGGAGGAAGAGAGGAGAGGACCGGCACGACACCAGGAGGAAGAGAGGAGAGGACCGGCACAACACCAGGAGAAAGATAGGAGAGGACCGGCACAACACTAGGAGAAAGACAGGAGAGGACCGGAACAACACCAGGAGAAAGACAGGAGAGGACCGGCACAACACTTGGAGAAAGACAGGAGAGGACCGGCACAACACCAGGAGACTCGCTCTCACTCTTCCTCTCTCGGTGGTGTCCCGCTCTCACTCGTCCTCTCTCGGTGGTGTCCCTCTCTCACTCTTCCTCTCTCGGTGGTGTCCCAATCTCACTCTTCCTCTCTCGGTGGTGTCCCAATCTCACTCTTCCTCTCTCGGTGGTGTCCCAATCTCACTCTTCCTCTCTCGGTGGTGTCCCGCTCTCACTCTTCCTCTCTCGGTGGTGTCCCAATCTCACTCTTCCTCTCTCGGTGGTGTCCCAATCTCACTCTTCCTCTCTCGGTGGTGTCCCGCTCTCACTCGTCCTCTCTCGGTGGTGTCCCGCTCTCACTCGTCCTCTCTCGGTGGTGTCCCGCTCTCACTCTTCCTCTCTCGGTGGTGTCCCGCTCTCACTCGTCCTCTCTCGGTGGTGTCCCGCTCTCACTCTTCCTCTCTCGGTGGTGTCCCGCTCTCACTCGTCCTCTCTCGGTGGTGTCCCGCTCTCACTCGTCCTCTCTCGGTGGTGTCCCGCTCTCACTCGTCCTCTCTCGGTGGTGTCGCGCTCTCACTCTTCCTCTCTCGGTGGTGTCCCGCTCTCACTCTTCCTCTCTCGGTGGTGTCCCGCTCTCACTCTTCCTCTCTCGGTGGTGTCCCAATCTCACTCTTCCTCTCTCGGTGGTGTCCCGCTCTCACTCTTCCTGCCTCGGTGGTGTCCCGCTCTCACTCTTCCTGCCTCGGTGGTGTCCCGCTCTCACTCGTCCTCTCTCGGTGGTGTCCCGCTCTCACTCTTCCTGCCTCGGTGGTGTCCCGCTCTCACTCGTCCTCTCTCGGTGGTGTCGCGCTCTCACTCTTCCTGCTTCGGTGGTGTTGCGATCAGCTTCCCGCGGTGGTACTTCTGCCCGATGCCGTACGGGACGTGAGCGGAGATGGTGCCCAGCTCTTTGGCGCCCTCTATGTGGAACATCTGGTCGTCGAAGTAGATGTGAGGCTTGATCTTCTGCAGCAGGGGTCCTTTGGGGGCCCCCGCCAGGAACAGGGCCTCGTCCACCTCCAGGCCCCACGAGCGCAGGGTCTTGAGGACGCGGGCCCCGGAGCTGGCCGCACTGCGGGCCGTCACCAGGAAGATGCGGATGGGGCACTCCAGACGCTCGTTCTTAGCGTAGAACTTTCTCTGCAGTTTCCCCAACGCCTCCAGGAAACACTTCAGAGGCCCCTGGGAGCAGAGAGGTCAGAGGTTAGAGGCCCCTGGGAGCAGAGAGGTCAGAGGTGAGAGGCCCTTGGGAGCAGAGAGGTTAGAGGCCCCTGAGAGGAGAGGGGTCAGAGGTTAGAGGCCCCTAGGAGCAGAGAGGTTAGAGACCCCTGAGAGGAGAGAAGTTAGAGGCCCCTAGGAGCAGAGAGGTCAAAGGTCAGAGGTGAGAGGCTCCTGGGAGCAGAGAGGTCAGAGGTTAGAGGCCCCTGGGAGCAGAGAGGTTAGAGGTGAGAGGCCCCTGGGAGCAGAGAGGTCAAAGGTCAAAGGTGAGAGGCCCCTGGGAGCAGAGAGGTCTCTCCTCAGTCCTTACCTGGGCCAGAGACAGGTTCTCCTCAGTCCTTACCTGGGCCAGGGGCAGGTTCTCCTCAGTCCTTACCTGGGCCAGGGGCAGGTTCTCCTCAGTCCTTACCTGGGCCAGGGGCAGGTTCTCCTCAGTCCTTACCTGGGCCAGGGGCAGGTTCTCCTCAGTCCTTACCTGGGCTAGAGGCAGGTTCTCCTCAGTCCTTACCTGGGCCAGGGGCAGGTTCTCCTCAGTCCTTACCTGGGCCAGAGGCAGGTTCTCCTCAGTCCTTACCTGGGCCAGGGGCAGGTTCTCCTCAGTCCTTACCTGGGCTAGAGGCAGGTTCTCCTCAGTCCTTACCTGGGCCAGAGGCAGGTTCTCCTCAGTCCTTACCTGGGCCAGAGGCAGGTTCTCCTCAGTCCTTACCTGGGCTAGAGGCAGGTTCTCCTCAGTCCTTACCTGGGCCAGGGGCAGGTTCTCCTCAGTCCTTACCTGGGCCAGAGGCAGGTTCTCCTCAGTCCTTACCTGGGCCAGGGGCAGGTTCTCCTCAGTCCTTACCTGGGCCAGGGGCAGGTTCTCCTCAGTCCTTACCTGGGCCAGAGGCAGGTTCTCCTCAGTCCTTACCTGGGCCAGGGGCAGGTTCTCCTCAGTCCTTACCTGGGCCAGGGGCAGGTTCTCGTGGGTCTTCTCGTGCTCAAAGAACTGGTCCAGTCCCTGCTGCTTGACGATGATCTCGGACTCGTCGGAGAAGAGCACGGCGTCTCCGTCGAAGGCCACCCTGAGCTGCAGGTCGCTGAGCTGCGACTGCATGTGGGCCTCGGGCATGAACATGGTGGCCGCGGCGATGCCTGCAAAGGACCCCACACACGTCACACTGGCACCAAGACAAAACAAACAAAACTGAGACTGCAGGATTAAAGCTGAGGTACATGATAATCAACTCCCCACTGCACATGGGGAATTTCTGTTTAGGAGTTTGCATGTTCTCCCTGTGTCTGTGTACGTGAGGGTTGAGTGTGTGTTTGTGTGTCGTACTGTGGGACTATGGATGGAAATGATCTGCAAACACTACAAACTGGTCCTGGTCTCTGTCTGGTCTGTCACTGGACTCTCTCTAGCCTCTATCTGGTCTCCCTCTGGTCTCTCTCTTTGGTCTCTCTGGTCTCTCTCGCTGGCCTCTCTCTGGTCTCTCTCTGGTCTCTCTCTTTGGTCTCTCTCACTGGTCTCTCTCTTTGGTCTCTCTCTGGTATCTCTCTGGTCTCTCTCAGGTCTCTCTCTGGTCTCTCTCAGGTCTCTCTCTGGTCTCTCTCAGGTCTCTCTCTGGTCTCTCCCAGGTCTCTCTCAGGTCTCTCTCTGGTCTCTCTCTGGTCTCTCCCAGGTCTCTCTCAGGTCTCTCTCTGGTCTCTCTCTGGTCTCTCTCTCTGGTCTCTCTCAGGTCTCTCTCTGGTCTCTCTGGTCTCTCTGGTCTCTCTCAGGTCTCTCAGGTCTCTCTCTGGTCTCTCTCTGGTCTCTCTCTGGTCTCTCTCTGGTCCTACCTTCTTCGATGGCCTCTGTAACCTTCTCTGCGTCCTTGGACAGGTACAGGTTGGTCATGTAGGCTTTCAGATACCCGATGGGGCTCTTCCCTCCGGTCATACAGAACCTCTCGATGCTCAAGTCTGGAACAACACACACAAAAACACAGATTTAAATAAAGTATAATGTTTGGGACAGGTGAGGTCGAGATTAGGGTCAGGCTCATCTAATGTGGGACCAAATGACAAGATTTTAGTGAGCCCTGTAAATAATAAATGTTTGCGTACTCAGAGCGAGAGAGAGACCAGAGAGAGACCAGAGAGAGACCAGAGAGAGACCTGAGAGAGACCAGAGAGAGATCTGAGAGACCAGAGAGAGACCAGAGAGAGACCAGAGAGAGACCAGAGAGAGACCCGGGGAGAGAGACCAGAGAGAGACCTGAGAGAGACCAGAGAGAGAGACCAGAGAGAGACCAGAGAGAGACCAGAGAGAGATCTGAGAGAGACCAGAGAGAGACCAGAGAGAGACCAGAGAGAGACCAGAGAGAGATCAGAGAGAAACCTGAGAGAGACCTGAGAGAGAGACCAGAGAGAGACCAGAGAGAGACCAGAGAGAGAGACCAGAGAGAGATCTGAGAGAGACCAGAGAGAGAGACCAGAGAGAGATCTGAGAGAGACCTGAGAGAGACCAGAGAGAGAGACCAGAGGGAGACCAGAGAGAGACCAGAGAGAGACCAGAGAGAGACCAGAGAGAGACCAGAGAGAGACCTGAGAGAGAGACCAGAGAGAGATCTGAGAGAGACCAGAGAGAGATCAGAGAGAAACCTGAAAGAGACCGGAGAGAGAGACCAGAGAGAGACCAGAGAGAGACCAGAGAGAGACCAGAGACCTGAGAGAGACCAGAGAGAGACCTGAGAGAGACCAGAGAGAGAGACCAGAGAGAGACCAGAGAGAGAGACCAGAAAGAGACCTGAGAGAGACCAAAGAGAGACCTGAGAGAGACCAGACAGAGACCAGAGAGAGACCAGAAAGAGACCTGAGAGAGACCTAAGAGAGACCAGAGAGAGAGACCAGAAAGAGTAAGTAAGTAAGTAAGTAATCTTTATTTATATACCGCCTTTTCACTGCACATCGGAGTCTCAAAGCGGTTTACAATTGTTATTTTTGGGAGTGGGGCCAGTACAGGAGGCACATGCCAGACCTATTGTACATATTTTTAGTGGTAGGGGAAACCGGAGCACCTGGAGGAAACCTACGCAGACACGGGGAGAACATGCAAACTCCACTCAGAAAGGCCCTGGTCCAACCGGGATTCAAACCCAGGACCTTCTTGCTGAGAGGCGAGAGTGCTATCCACTCAGCCACCGTGCCGCCCAGAGACAGAGAGACCAAAGGTCTCCCTCTGGTCTCCCTCTGGTCTCCCTCTGGTCTCCCTCTGGTCTCGCTCTGGTCTCTCTGGTCTCTCTCTGGTCTCTCTCTGGTCTCTCTCTGGTCTCTCTCTGGTCTCCCTCTGGTCTCGCTCTGGTCTCCCTCTGGCCTCCCTCTGATCTCCTTCTGGTCTCCCTCTTGCCTCCCTCTGGTCTCCCTCTGGTCTCGCTCTGGTCTCCCTCTGGCTTCCCTCTGGTCTCCCTCTGGCCTCCCTCTGGTCTCGCTCTGGTCTCTCTGGTCTCTCTCTGGTCTCCCTCTGGTCTCCCTCTGGTCTCTCTCTGGTCTCCGTCTGGTCTCCCTCTGGTCTCCCTCTGGTCTCTCTCTGGTCTCTCTCTGGCCTCCCTCTGGTCTCGCTCTGGTCTCTCTGGTCTCCCTCTGGTCTCTCTCTGGTCTCTCTCTGGCCTCCCTCTGGTCTCGCTCTGGTCTCCTTCTGGTCTCTCTCTGGTCTCTCTCTGGTCTCCCTCTGGTCTCCCTCTGGTCTCCCTCTGGTCTCGCTCTGGTCTCCCTCTGGCCTCCCTCTGGTCTCTCTCTGGTCTCTCTCTGGTCTCTCTCTGGCCTCCCTCTGGTCTCCCTCTGGTCTCTCTGGTCTCTCTCTGGTCTCCCTCTGGTCTCCCTCTGGTCTCTCTCTGGTCTCTCTCTGGTCTCTCTCTGGTCTCTCTCGGGCCTCCCTCTGGTCTCGCTCTGGTCTCTCTGGTCTCCCTCTGGTCTCTCTCTGGTCTCTCTGGCCTCCCTCTGGTCTCCTTCTGGTCTCTCTCTGGCCTCCCTCTGGTCTCCCTCTGGTCTCCCTCTGGTCTCGCTCTGGTCTCCCTCTGGCCTCCCTCTGGTCTCGCTCTGGTCTCTCTGGTCTCTCTCTGGTCTCCCTCTGGTCTCCCTCTGGTCTCCCTCTGGTCTCTCACTGGTCTCTCTCTGGCCTCCCTCTGGTCTCGCTCTGGTCTCCTTCTGGTCTCTCTCTGGTCTCTCTCTGGCCTCCCTCTGGTCTCCCTCTGGTCTCCCTCTGGCCTCCCTCTGGTCTCGCTCTGGTCTCTCTGGTCTCTCTCTGGTCTCCCTCTGGTCTCCCTCTGGTTTCCCTCTGGTCTCTCTCTGGCCTCCCTCTGGTCTCGCTCTGGTCTCTCTGGTCTCTCTCTGGTCTCCCTCTGGTCTCCCTCTGGTCTCCCTCTGGTCTCTCTGGTCTCTCTCTGGTCTCCCTCTGGCCTCCCTCTGGTCTCGCTCTGGTCTCTCTGGTCTCTCTCTGGTCTCCCTCTGGCCTCCCTCTGGTCTCCCTCTGGTCTCGCTCTGGTCTCCCTCTGGTCTCGCTCTGGTCTCCCTCTGGTCTCCCTCTGGTCTCCTTCTGGTCTCCCTCTGGTCTCCCTCTGGTCTCGCTCTGGTCTCGCTCTGGTCTCCCTCTGGTCTCCCTCTGGCCTCCCTCTGGCCTCCCTCTGGTCTCTCTGGTCTCTCTCTGGTCTCCCTCTGGTCTCCCTCTGGTCTCCCTCTGGTCTCCCTCTGGTCTCTCCGGTCTCTCTGGTCCCTCTGGTCTCCCTCTGGTCTCCCTCTGGTCTCCCTCTGGTCTCGCTCTGGTCTCGCTCTGGTCTCCCTCTGGTCTCCCTCTGGTCTCCCTCTGGTCTCCCTCTGGTCTCCCTCGGGTCTCCCTCTGGTCTCTCTGGTCTCTCTCTGGTCTCTCTCTGGTCTCCCTCTGGTCCCTCTGATCCCTCTGGTCCCTCATGTCCCTCTGGTCTCCCTCTGGTCTCTCCGGTCTCTCTGGTCCCTCTGGTCTCCCTCTGGTCTCCCTCTGGTCTCCCTCTGGTCTCCCTCTGGTCTCCCTCTGGTCTCCCTCTGGTCTCGCTCTGGTCTCGCTCTGGTCTCCCTCTGGTCTCCCTCTGGTCTCCCTCTGGTCTCTCTCTGGTCTCTCTCTGGTCTCTCTCCGGTCTCTCTGGTCTCCCTCTGGTCTCCCTCTGGTCTCCCTCTGGTCTCTCCGGTCTCTCTGGTCTCCCTCTGGTCTCCCTCTGGTCTCCCTCTGGTCTCTCCGGTCTCTCTGGTCTCCCTCTGGTCTCCCTCTGGTCTCCCTCTGGTCTCGCTCTGGTCTCCCTCTGGTCTCCCTCTTGTCTCTCTCTGGTCTCCCTCTGGCCTCCCTCTGGTCTCCCTCTGGTCTCCCTCTGGTCTCCCTCTGGTCTCCCTCTGGTCTCCCTCTGGCCTCCCTCTGGTCTCCCTCTGGTCTCCCTCTGGTCTCGCTCTGGTCTCCCTCTGGTCTCCCTCTGGTCTCCCTCTGGTCTCCCTCTGGTCTCTCTCTGGTCTCCCTCTGGCCTCCCTCTGGTCTCCCTCTGGTCTCCCTCTGGTCTCCCTCTGGTCTCCCTCTGGTCTCTCTCTGGTCTCCCTCTGGTCTCCCTCTGGTCTCCCTCTGGTCTCCCTCTGGTCTCTCTGGTCTCCCTCTGGTCTCCCTCTGGTCTCCCTCTGGTCTCCCTCTGGTCTCGCTCTGGTCTCTGTACCGTAGTGGTTGATGGAGTTGATGAGGCGCACTCCGACCTGTGCGTGGTTGTTGGTCATGAGGACGATGTCGAACAGCTCCTCTTCCTCTGGATACAGCCTCCTCAGACGATCATTCACGTTCATCAACGCCTGCAGCACAGAGAGGAGACAGTGTGAAGGAGAGGGAAGTGCTCATGGAGGAAGTTTTGCTCCTACTGTCTTTGACTCCATTCACTTACATAGAAAAATAAACCTCTTTTCAGAACCGCTCTCTTTTGAGTTAACTTCATGACGTCTTTGTGAAGCTAGATTCATAGACTGTATACAAATGGACAATGCTAACACGCTAGCTCAATGAAGCCCAAAAGGGAAGTGCTCATGGACGAAGTTTTGACTGAGCTCCTATTGACTCACCATTTTGGGCTTAAAACATCCATGGTCCGTCTCTCTCTGTGATCCTGGTGTTTATATTCTGATATCGTTTTTGTAAATCCAGATACGTCCATATAAGGACTGACCAATCAGATGCCTTCATTCACGCTCCATGAACTCCAGCTTGCTTTAGCAAACGTCTTAGCAGCACGCCTGCTCCTGTTGCAGTCCAAAGCTAACACAGTCGAAAGTAATGCCCATATAAGAAAAACAGCTCCAACTAGCACAAGTTCACACTGTCATCCAGCCACCTTCAGCTCCATCAATACATGCATCTTAATCCTAGCTGTGAAGCTCAGCAACCTCTAGAATCCAGTTGTTTACTTTGTTAGTTCAGACTTACTTTTGTTTCTGATTGTGTCACAAAATTGCATACGTGTCGCTAGCTTCTTTATTATGCTAAAGCTAGAGATGTTATACTAGCTTCTTTATTATGCTAAAGCTAAAGTTTATACTAGCTTCTTTATTATGCTAAAGCTAGAGATGTTATACTAGCTTCTTTATTATGCTAAAGCTAAAGTTTATACTAGCTTCTTTATTATGCTAAAGCTACATAATTCATTTATCTTGTGCTGTGTGCTCCTCATTCTGACTGTTCTGTACAGTGCCTTGCGAAAGTATTCAGCCCCCTTGAACCTTTCAACATTTTGCCACATTTCAGGCTTCAAACATAAAGATATAAAATTTAAATTTTTTGTCAAGAATCAACAACAAGTGGGACACAATCGTGAAGTGGAACGGAATTTATTGGATAATTTAAACTTTTTTAACAAATAAAAAACTGAAAAGTGGGGCGTGCAATATTATTCGGCCCCTTTACTTTCAGTGCAGCAAACTCAGTCCAGAAGTTCAGTGAGGATCTTTGAATGATCCAATGTTGTCCTAAATGACTGATGATGATAAATAGAATGTACCTGTGTGTGATCAAGTCTCCGTATAAATGCACCTGCTCTTTGATAGTCTCAGGGTTCTGTTTAAAGCACAGAGAGAACCATGAAGACAAAGGAACACACCAGGCAGGTCCGAGATACTGTTGTGGAGAAGTTTAAAGCCGGATTTGGATACAAAAAGATTTCCCAAGCTTTAAACATCTCAAGGAGCACTGTGCAAGCAATTATATTGAAATGGAAGGAGTATCAGACCACTGCAAATCTACCAAGACCCGGCAGTCCCTCCAAACTTTCATCTCAAACAAGGAGAAGACTGATCAGAGATGCAGCCAAGAGGCCCATGATCACTCTGGATGAACTGCAGATAACTACAGCTGAGGTGGGAGAGTCTGTCCATAGGACAACAATCAGTCGTGCACTGCACAAATCTGGCCTTTATGGAAGAGTGGCAAGAAGAAAGCCATTTCTCAAAGATATCCAATAAAAGTCTCTTAAAGTTTGCCACAAGCCACCTGGGAGACACACCAAACATGTGGAAGAAGGTGCTCTGGTCAGATGAAACCAAAATCTAACTTTTTGGCCACAATGAAAAACGATATGTTTGGCGTAAAAGCAACACAGCTCATCACCCTGAACACACCATCCCCACTGTCAAACATGGTGGTGGCAGCATCATGCTTTGGGCCTGCTTTTCTTCAGCAGGGACAGGGAAGATGGCTAAAATTGATGGGAAGATGGATGGAGCCAAATACAGGACCATTCTGGAAGAAAACCTGTTGGAGTCTGCAAAAGACCTGAGACTGGGACAGAGATTTATCTTCCAACAGGACAATGATCCAAAACATAAAGCCAAATCTACAATGGAATGGTTCACAAATAGACGTATCCAGGTGTTAGAATGGCCAAGTCAAAGTCCAGACCTGAATCCAATCGAGAATCTGTGGAAAGAGCTGAAGACTGCTGTTCACAAACGCTCTCCATCCAACCTCACTGAGCTCCAGCTGTTTTGCAAGGAAGAATGGGGAAGAATTCCAGTCTCTCGATGTGCAAAACTGATAGAGACATACCCCAAGCGACTTGCAGCTGTAATTGCAGCAAAAGGTGGCGCTACAAAGTATTAGCGCAAGGGGCCGAATAATATTGCACGCCCCACTTTTCAGTTTTTTATTTGTTAAAAAAGTTTAAATTATCCAATAAGTGTCGTTCCACTTCACGATTGTGTCCCACTTGTTGTTGATTCATGACAAAAAAATATTTTTTATATCTTTATGTTTGAAGCCTGAAATCTGCCAAAATGTTGAAAGGTTCAAGGGGGCCGAATACTTTCGCAAGGCACTGTAACTGCTGATGCAACACTGACATTTCCCTGCAGTGGGACCTACTTTCAGTTTAATGTAAATCAATATCTGCAGATATCGTACCATTTTAAAGCCAAGAACAGCTCAAATCCAGTCCAATCCGGTTTCAAATCTGGGTTTGTGGGAGAACTATAGTGTGCTGCCATGAGAGAAAAAGTGAATCATAATAATAATAATTCCATGGAGATTACTCTACTTTTGCACAGAGAAGTTGGAGTCAAAAGTTGAAAATGTAATCCCAGGTTTTACAACACAACATTTGTCTGTGTGTTTTACAACACAACATTTGTCTGTGTGTTTTACAACACAACATTTGTCTGTGTGTTTTACAACACAACATTTGTCTGTGTGTTGCAGAACAAAGTGACCCTCCCAGTTTTACCACAAGTCACAACAAAGAAGTCACAACAAAGAAGTCACAACAAAGAAGTCACAACAAAGAAGTCACAACAAAGAAGTCACAACAAAGAAGTCACAACAAAGAAGTCACAACAAAGAAGTCACAACAAAGAAGTCACAACAAAGAAGTCACAACAAAGAAGTCACAACAAAGAAGTCACAACAAAGAAGTCACAACAAAGAAGTCACAACAAAGAAGTCACAACAAAGAAGTCACAACAAAGAAGTCACAACAAAGAAGTCACAACAAAGAAGTCACAACAAAGCAGAAGTGAAGTATTTTGGTGTTGACCAATGTCTCAGGTGCATTTCAAAACTACTACTACTACTACTTGCTACTACCGTACTTTTACCACTCCTTCTACTGCAAAGACTATTACTACTACTACTACTACCACACCTCTCCTACAGCCTTAGGCACATTCCTCTGATCTCGTGCAGCCTCAGGATTCTGCTGATGTAGAGGAGGGTGTGGTGGAAACAGGTTAGCATTGTCCATCTGTACAGTCTGTGTTAGCATTAGCATCTGTATACAGTCTGTGTTAGCATTGTCCATCTGTACAGTCTGTGTTAGCATTAGCATCTGTATACAGTCTGTGTTAGCATTAGCATCTGTATACAGTCTGTGTTAGCATTAGCATCTGTATACAGTCTGTGTTAGCATTAGCATCTGTATACAGTCTGTGTTAGCATTGTCCATCTGTACAGTCTGTGTTAGCATTAGCATCTGTATACAGTCTGTGTTAGCATTGTCCATCTGTACAGTCTGTGTTAGCATTAGCATCTGTATACAGTCTGTGTTAGCATTAGCATCTGTATACAGTCTGTGTTAGCATTAGCATCTGTATACAGTCTGTGTTAGCATTAGCATCTGTATACAGTCTGTGTTAGCATTAGCATCTGTATACAGTCTGTGTTAGCATTAGCATCTGTATACAGTCTGTGTTAGCATTAGCATCTGTATACAGTCTGTGTTAGCATTAGCATCTGTATACAGTCTGTGTTAGCATTGTCCATCTGTATACAGTCTGTGTTAGCATTAGCATCTGTATACAGTCTGTGTTAGCATTAGCATCTGTATACAGTCTGTGTTAGCATTAGCATCTGTATACAGTCTGTGTTAGCATTAGCATCTGTATACAGTCTGTGTTAGCATTAGCATCTGTATACAGTCTGTGTTAGCATTGTCCATCTGTATACAGTCTGTGTTAGCATTAGCATCTGTATACAGTCTGTGTTAGCATTAGCATCTGTATACAGTCTGTGTTAGCATTAGCATCTGTATACAGTCTGTGTTAGCATTAGCATCTGTATACAGTCTGTGTTAGCATTAGCATCTGTATACAGTCTGTGTTAGCATTAGCATCTGTATACAGTCTGTGTTAGCATTAGCATCTGTATACAGTCTGTGTTAGCATTAGCATCTGTATACAGTCTGTGTTAGCATTAGCATCTGTATACAGTCTGTGTTAGCATTAGCATCTGTATACAGTCTGTGTTAGCATTAGCATCTGTATACAGTCTGTGTTAGCATTAGCATCTGTATACAGTCTGTGTTAGCATTAGCATCTGTATACAGTCTGTGTTAGCATTAGCATCTGTATACAGTCTGTGTTAGCATTAGCATCTGTATACAGTCTGTGTTAGCATTAGCATCTGTATACAGTCTGTGTTAGCATTAGCATCTGTATACAGTCTGTGTTAGCATTAGCATCTGTATACAGTCTGTGTTAGCATTAGCATCTGTATACAGTCTGTGTTAGCATTAGCATCTGTATACAGTCTGTGTTAGCATTAGCATCTGTATACAGTCTGTGTTAGCATTAGCATCTGTATACAGTCTGTGTTAGCATTAGCATCTGTATACAGTCTGTGTTAGCATTAGCATCTGTATACAGTCTGTGTTAGCATTAGCATCTGTATACAGTCTGTGTTAGCATTAGCATCTGTATACAGTCTGTGTTAGCATTAGCATCTGTATACAGTCTGTGTTAGCATTAGCATCTGTATACAGTCTGTGTTAGCATTAGCATCTGTATACAGTCTGTGTTAGCATTAGCATCTGTATACA